AACAGAATAGAATTGAACTACAAACAACAACCTAAGATAGAATAGAAGATAAGTTTCCCAAAGTAAAGAAAGAGCTGAGTCTTGGATGAAAGTTTACCAAACAGTAGGGTTGAAAGTGAATCGGACAAATGAAGAGTAGATCTTGGTAAAATAAATGGAATTACTGTATAACGAAAAGTAAGTCAAACAGAATTCAAAACAAAATCCCCCTCCTCACAGCACGGTGCTCCTTCCCTCCCCTACTGCTGCCATTTTCTCTCTCTGGCAACACTTAGGCTTTGCTCTTTATCAGAGAAAGATGCAAAAGTGTTCTCTAGAGAATGCAGGACTGCTGCAGTAATGATTTGGAAAGTCCACCTGACCTTTCCCAAAATGAAACATGGCTGAATGGGTGGGTTGGGTATAGTAGCCTCTCTGTCCAACACCAGAAGGGCATGTTGTTATTGTTGTTGCTATGTGCCGTTGAGTCTGACCCTGACTCAGAGGAACCCCTCCTTGGGTTTCTGAGGCGTTATCACTACAGAAGTAGATTGCCCAACCTTCCTTCCGATGAGTGGATGGTGAGTTTGAACCGCCAGCCTTCTGGTTAGCAGTCAAATGCTTTAGGCACTATGCTACCAGAGCTCCTCCAGAAGGGCATATATGAGGCCAAATCTTTATAATTATGCGGAGAGCACTTGACCTGGCTGCATAACCCCTGAGCAATTGGAGAGCTGCCCTGCAAAGCACAGACCACACATGTTTTGCATTAACTAAAAAGTCCTTGTTGCTACCATGTCAAAGTTCAGTTTGCAGCATTATATTGAACCCTTGCTCACAATACACCTTAGGTTTAATTTTCACTAACTCCCATCTCAGAATCACTTATGTGTAATGGGTAATGAGACAACCCAGGGTGAGCAGAGAATACTCTGAGCCTGGCGATATTGACCCATAGGTCACAGTGAAGTCATCATGTCATAGCATATAGGATCTATGGTTGATCCTTGAACAATGCAGGGGTTAGTGGACTGATCCCCCATGCAGTAGAAAATCCACATATAACTTGACTCCTCAAAAACTTAGCTACTAATAACCTACAATTTATCAGAAGCCTTATAAGTAGTATAAACTGTTAATTAACACAATTCTTGCTGTACAGTTTTCAGATTTTCAAAAAAAGATACTCACACAAATACTCAACAGTTAAATGTATTAAGTGTATGGCATGATAATTATTTGCTATTCATTAAGTGGAAATGGATAATCATAAAAGTCTTCCTCTGGGTCTACATGTTGAGTAGACTGAGGACGAAGAGGAAAGGGAGGCCCTGGTTGTGCTACCTCAGGGGTGGCAAAGGCAGAAGGGTGGAGGGGGTGGAAGTGGAGGCAAGAGAGGCAAGTACGCTAAGTATAGCTTTATGGAAATACATTGTAATTTCTGTCTGACTTTTTTGTTTTTGCATTTCTTTAAAAATATTTTTATACAGTACCAATCCTTTCACCATTTGCTTTTGTGTCAGTGCCTATATCATGGAAGGGTCTATGTCTTTACAGGCAAGCAGTCAGGTCGTGACCTGAAGTGCATGTTTGAATGCAGATTCCTGGGCCCACCCATGTTATATTGAATCCCAATCTCTAGTGGCAGAGTCTAGGAATCTGCATAGTAAAAGTGTTCCTTCAATTCCCTCTTTGTATATCGGGTGTGGTCAGCAGAATAACTGTCCCTCTAAGATGTCTATGTCTTGATTTCTGGAACACATGAATGTTTACCTTAAACAGAAAAAGGGGCTTTGCATAGGTGATTAAATTAAAAATCTTGACATAGGGAGATTATTCTAATTTATTTATGTGAGCCAAATCTCATCACATGGATCCTTAAAGGTGGAGAACATAGCCCAGCTCTTGGTAGAGACAGATGTGTGTATTAGTTTTCTAGAAAACCAAACCAAACTCACTACTGTCGAGTAAAATCTGACTCATAGTGACCCCTCCTTGGTTTTCTGAGGTGGTATCACTACTGAAGTAGATTGCCCCATCCTCCTTCTGAGGAGTGGCTGGTGGGTTTGAACCACTAGCCTTCTGGTTAGCAGTCAAGTGCCTTAGGTATTATGCTATGAGAGCTCCCTACTACACTACTAGGGCTGCCATTTAAAAAAAAAAAAAAATCACAAATTAAGATGCTTGGAATAGGAATGTATTGTCTCACAGTTTTGGACCCTGGAAATCCAAAATCAAGGTCTCAGTAGGGCCATATTCTCTCTAAAGTCTCTATAAGAAGATATTTCCTTGCCCCATTCTAGCTTTTGGTGGTTTCTGGTAATCCATCACATTCCTTGGCTTGTAGATAGATATATCACTCCAATCCCTGATTCTATCTTCACGTAGCCACTTTCCCTCTGTGTCTCTTCTCCTCTTTTTGTAAGGACCTCAGTAATATTATTTTAGAAACCATCCTAGTTCAGCATGACCTCATGCTAACTTAACCAATTACAACAGCAGTGACCCAACCTCTAAACAAGTTCACATTCACAGACACCTGGATGTTAGGAATTTAATATATCCTTTGAGGTAAACATAATTCAACCCATCAAATATGACTATGGAAGAAGGGTCAGAGAGATGTGACACTGGTGACCCTGAAGATGGAGGAGGAGGCCACAAGCCAAGGAATGCAGCAGTCTTTTGAGACTGTAAAAGACATGGAAAAGAAAAAAAAAAAAAAAAAAAAGACAAGGAAATGCATTCTCCTCTAGAGTCTCCAGAAAGGAATGTAGCCTGCCAACATCAGTGACACCTATGTCAGTCTTCTGACTAACAGAATTGTAAGATAATAAATGTATGTTGTTTTAAGCCTCTAAAATTTGTTATAGCTGAAGAAATGTACTACAGTAGCAACAGAACACTAATACATGGGATTTTAAAAAAACATAGTCTGGTTGAACAATCTCTGGACTAGAAATTGGGAGACTTGCTTCCTTGTTTAGCTCAGACATGCCAGCCATATGATCTCACCAAAAGCATTTTCCAATGTGATCCTGTATTCTTATCAGTTGAACAGGCAGAATAATGTTGTTGTTGTTGTTGTTATGTGCCGTCGAGTCGGCCCCGACTCATAGCGACCCCTCCTTGGGTTTCCGAGGCAGTATCACTAGGGAAGTAGGATTGCCCAACCTTCCTTCCAAGGAGTGGCTGGTGGGTTTGAACCGCCAGCCTTCTGGTTAGCAGTCAAGTGCTTTAGCCACTATGCTACTGCCTTAATTTTAAGAGCCTTTGAGAAGACAATACTTAGAAAAGGAAATCCATCCTTTTTTATTTTTCCAAAGACAGCAATACTTTCTCAATGTTATTATATGTATTTCACACAAGAAAACTTCTGTAAGGTAGGGTAATGGTCTCAATATAGTCCATCTTCCATGATAAGATATAAAAAATGTACTAAGTCCATGTTGTCCTAGAGACATTTGTCCTGGAGACCCAGGTCTAACAGAACTCCTCCCCAAGAGTTGTTCCCTTTTTTTTCCTGACACATAGTTGTTCTTAATAAACCCACTGCTGACAAGTTGATTTCAACTCACAACATCCCTATGTTGTTGTTGTTGTTACGTGCCATCAACTCGGACCTGACTCATAGCGACCCCTCCTTGGGTTTCCGAGGCAGTATCACTACGGAGGAGCTCTGGTAGCTTAGTGCCTAAGGCACTTGACT